GCTTGGTAACGTCTCAGTTTGTACTCGTTGATCTGCGCGACAACCAAAGTCTCCATCTTTGATTATATGAGACCCATATATCTCGCGCATGCGTGGCGCAACGACTACCGCGCTTTAAGTCAGAAATAAAGACAAACAAAAACAGTACAAGATGGGAAAAATAAATGGGCTAATACATGTGTCACACTGTGACATAAGATTAGAGAAACACTTAAACATTTGGTAGTTATTTGTTCATGGTAATTTTATTTAATCACTATTTTATAATTCATATTTCATTACAGTGTTATTATACCGTTGTTGTTTAGGCTATTTTATAATTATTATGAAATTCTTTCACCTGTCCGTGGCAAGAACAACCCCTATTCTAGCACCAGAATGAGTAACACGTACGGACTATCCGTCGGACGATATGCTTTGGATGAGGCGCACTTAATGAAAAAAAAAGTTATTTAGTTTTTCTTTGTAACGTTCAACACAATGGGACCTTCCTAAATAACATACTTTGTGTTCACGCAAACCTCGAGACGTGAGGCCATGGAAATCGCAAAACAAACTACATTTTTGGCAAAAAAAACAAACAAAAAAAACATCAGTTGCTCACATCTAGTATGTCATACATGTAGACTATGTGAGGATTCTTGGGATCCTTTTCTAAACATGCAATTATGCGTTCAGGAATGACTAGCTTACCAGTCTTGTAACGCAAATTAACAAAACTCGGACACTGAATACAATCGCACTTACACAACTATGAAATATTAGCATATTTCCAACTATCTCGGTGATAAAACTGCGCGGTACTAGTCCCCACCCCACGCCATGCAAAAAGTGAACGCGCTAATGATAGATTGGAAAATGCGATTGGTCTGTTACTCGCGTTCGAGGTGGTTCAATAATGATGGAAAATAACTGTCATGAATTAGTTTTCGCGTATCTGTTGACCGACTTGGTTAGCTGATTACTAGTGAATGGCTGTGTTATGTCTGTCATTATTTAGGCTCATGCAAGGTTCTGGACGCAACTTGACTCAGTGATTTGGAACTAATTACGATATAACCGTCGCTATTCGGACTACTATTTCTGACAGTTGGTATTCGCAGTTAGTAATGTAGTGAACGATTATTCAAAAGATATGACGTGTTCAGTACTTAGTGTGATTGGCTGTATGTGTGAAGGCCACGCCTTGGAGTCTTTCAACGTCTTTGTAATTGGTCAAGGTTTTGAAAGTGAATAAAAGAGTTTTAGTTGGTCTTGGGGAGAACATTACGAGAGACGAAGTCTTGGGTCAGCCTTGCAATAGTCTTGGGACTTTTCCCCAGGGCGCTGTGTCTTATAGAGTACTCGACTGACCGACTAAAGACGAGAGTTGAGTATAGTAAGGAAAGATCCAGTGGTTAAAAAATAACATTAAAATGGTTGACACAGTGTCACATTGTACACGCATCATCAAGGGGTTAAAGGTCAGATAGACGACCAACAAGCAAACACTCATATTGCGCTATCAGTTAACATTAATGCTCATTGAATTCAATCATTGTATGACTTTGGTGAATTTGCCCAGTGTACATAGTTTCCAGGTCAGAGTTCTATGTGTTTATCCAAATTAGACTTCGGTTGACTGGAGGTTAAACTGACCTATTAAAAACATGTGATCACCCAAAGACACCTATATATGTAATTCTAAGCTTTGGTAAGAGTTTTTGTCAATGCAGAATAAATTCATCCAATGTAGCATCTATAACGACGTTTCAACATTATCTCATTGTAGTATGACCTGGTATGTGATAAAGATTGGATGAAGCAGTTGTCAAAATCGATCGTACCGTTTGGTAATTTGGTTGGGGCTCTACTTTGCGGACAACTGTCTGATATGTGAGTTGTGTTAAACATTACCTTTAAAATCTTAACCTTACGAAAATCGAATGATCGATATAGTAATAATACGCAATGACAGTTTACTACAAAAGATAGCACTAAGTCTTGATAGTCAAATCTATTTCCCATTTACAGAATTGGTCGAAAACCGGTGTTTTTTATATCGTTGATATCCTCGATCGTGGTGGGTGCCGTAGCAACAGTTTCTCAAACCTATATTATGTTTCTTATTTGCCAATTTCTTCTCGGTTTATGTTCCACCGGAATGTTTCTCGTAGGATTTGTCATCGGTAAGTATTAACATAAACCTATTATGTTGACAAATTGCAATCTTAGATAAAAACGTATAAACAGCTGTCTCACAAACGGTGAGGGCGTAATTGTTCACGTCTACAATGTCACTTGTTTAACCATATCACGTACATATTTAATACCGTATGAACCTCTGAAATAATAACATACATGTATCTCAAATAACAGTATCATTGTATCATCAGGTGTTGAACTGGTTGGAACATCGTATAGAACTATGTGTGGTATCGTCATCGAAATTTTCTTTGCAATTGGTTATATGTTTTTAGCAGTTATTGCTGCAATCGCCAATGGACACTGGAGAAAAATACAATTTGTTGGAGCTGTGATATGCTTAATTTATTTACCGTATTATTGGTATGTAATTTTCAATCTGATGTATTGTAATGTGTCACTATTATTAATGTTCACATCTGGTTATTGTACTAAAGAATACTCCAATTCAAATTTATAGAAAACAATCCTTTTGTTGTGTCGTTACGAAGATATTCACCTCACTGTGATAATTTCATCATCTACACTAAACTACTATAACAGCTGTAATAGTACAACTTTTTGTCAACGGAAAGCTACCATAATGCTACATAGGTAATCCTTTAAACTTAAGGTTTATGATTAAGATCACTAGAAAACAGATGGTCTTCATATCTTTATAAGTCCAAACATCCATTTTAAATCAATCGGTACCTTGCAATGTTCCTCTAACACTTTTACATTATATGGGGTCTAAGTTTAAGAAAATTGAAAGCAGAACTATAACGGTAACTATGACGAAAGTTGTTATTCGAATGTACGATATCTACCTGCAAGAAAAATCTGTTCGGTGATCGTAAATTTCATCTTAGAAAACGATTATGGTGGTTTTATGGTATCATGGAAATGCGTTCTTTTATTCCTAACTGCGCTCCGTACAATATGTGGTCTGTAATGTCCAATTAAATTCTAACACGCATGCGCTGTGCCGCACGTATTTTTTTACAGGTTAATTCCAGAGTCAGCTCGGTGGTTAATAGAGAAGAAAAAATACAATAAAGCTGAGAAGATTTTACACAAGGCTGCCACCGTGAATAAAGTGAAACTACCGGACGATATGTTCGATGATGAACGGAAGGGTATTATGGAAAAAAATGAGGGTGCGGAAATTGAAGTAAGTATAAATACTCAATTTATCTAAACAATCAAAGTGCAAAATGTCATACAACTAAATAACAGCCAATCTGTTCAAAGCGGGAGGGTTGTCACCTGTGCACGCGCGGGAATTGAGTCCTAAGCGACGATAACAACACAAGCTAAAACGCAAAGGCTCATGGGTAGACGTTTGTTTGTAAACAATGACACGCTATGGCAATCTTACGCATGCGCAGGTGACGACTCCCCCGCTTTAACATCTTTCAGAAACGGAAACTGAGAATGTAAAGACTATCAGACTAACAAAAAAATTGTAATGAATTGAAATGAATTGTAAAAAAATTGTATATGAAATATACTAATTGTATATGAAACTACTTTTTTAAACAAAAAAACGTTTTAAACACTTAACCTTTAATTGTACTACAGAGCAAAACACATATGTACAAATATGTTCAGTAAAACAGTCAGTCCTAAATTCACAAATAATGAGTTCCTACTAGTATTTTTTTATTGATAAAAATGATGAATAAAGCAAAATAAAAATACTAGTAGACAGCCAGAGTACATACAAACTTCAATTTAAAAAGTTGTATTTTAATGAATGGAAGTGTTAAATGGCTCTTTCCAGGTTAGGGAACTGTGAACATTTGATTCACTTCCTGTACTGCTGTACACTGTGAAAAATCAATTACACAAATAATTAACTGATTGGAAAATTTTCATAAGTTTTTTTTTCTATAACTGCAGTGAACAACTTATGTATATTGTACTTTCAAAATGAAGTGAACAGACAATTTAAGTCATTTAAAAAAAAATTAAGATTTCCTATGCAATTACTAAAAACACACTATAAACTAGTCTGTCAAAGGTTTAAGTTAATCACAGTGAAAAATATTGAGAAAACTCACCTTAAATGGTTGGTTTCTGGAAAAAAATAGAGCTTGTTGTGTATAGTACTTGTATCAGTGCTGCTTCCTGTACTCAATGTTTATACCCCGTGACCCCGTGACCTCTCTCTCTAAGCATCATGGGAAATACAATGGAGGATGGAATTGGAAAGGGACTTATTGCTTCAAAGTTAAAAAAAAGCAGTATTGTTTATATGCGTTTAAATGTTAAATGACATCGAAAACTTCCCACCAACAGATGAGTGATGACCGATGATCAAGCGGAGCACATGATGTTGTAGCAATACTAATATGGGAATCCACAAATTATCTGCTTACAAATGTGCTAAAATGGGGTTCGTGTGATTAGAACTCGTATGCATGTTTGTAAATTCAATGCACCAACATAATTTGTTTTGTGATAAAGGTTATGCAAGATAAAATTTCAAATGTACACCGTAAAAAGTAGTACACAAGCTGGGCATCCTTGTTAAAGTGAGAAGGTCGTCACCTGCGCACGCGTCGGAATTGAGTCACAACCGACGATAACAACGCGTGCCTAAAAAGCATGGGTGGACGCTTGTTTGTAAACAATGACACGCTATGACCATCTAACGTATGCGCAGGTAACGAACCCCCCGCTTTAAACGGTATTTTAAAAGACACGGGTTTGTTTATAATGTGGGCTAATCAAAAAGATTGTGAATGCTTAAAACAGATGGGTAGTCACCTGCGCACGCGCGGAAGTTCCAAGCGACGATAACAATGCATGCTAAAAACGCAAAGGCATATGGGTGGACGCTTGTTTGTGGACACTGGCACGCTATGGCTATCTGACACATGCGCAGGTGATTACAACAAACTCTTAGACAATGACGTTAAAACATCTCTGTGCAAAACTGGAGTTATGCTCTGTTATATTCGCTCTTTTATCCGGAAATCAGCCAGTCTTAGGATTTCTGCAATTTGCTTTAAAACCGAAAAAAAGCCAGGGGAATGGTTGGCTGTGTCCATTTGTATGTTAGACAGTGGAAAACGAGATCTCACGCTAATCTGTCGAAAAGATAACCATTTGGGAGCTAAACTTATCACTGCATACTGCTATACTCTCGCCACTGAGAACAAATAAGTTACACTATGACAAACTAGCAACACGCACACACTGACATACCTTGGAATATATTTCTCACTGAGCTCCAGAATACGTATGAAAGCTCCAGATAACAACTAGACATATTTACATGCATTTGATAGAGATGAGATTTGATTTTTTTTGTTTAATTTGTTTCTTTACGAACAGTAATGTATTTATAATTTTATAACAGATCAGCATCCAAGGCCGATGGCCATAGTAAAGGTAATACTAATAATAATAAAATACTTTTATAGCATGTCAATGTGAGGCACTGGCCGGAGCAGTTCGAACATGAATATTCGAACTAGCATCCGCAGTCCAGAAGACCCAATGACATTCTCATTTGTGCACTCTTTTTTTTCATGTAGCTTGTTATTAAACATGACCAGATCGCAAACTAAAATAAAATCAAATAATAGTTTGGGCTTTATTTATTTTTCTTTCATATCTTAAATATTGTATTTTTTCACATAATTTATTTTATTTATTATTTTTTTTTCAATTTGTTGGTAGTTTGATAGAATGCCTATGGACTAAAACATCTGCTATGTATTAGTGGACTGTATTTCATGATGTTGGTTTCGACAGTATAAGCACTACACCGTCTACAATTATATTTGGAAAAAAATATTCTGTTTAATACATTACGAGTAATTATACTGAGTCACTCACTGGACATGTTTTTATGTTTGTAGAAATATGCGTAATATTACTCTCCTCTTTCTTTTCATGTAGGTAGTTGTTTATATTTTTTTTTGATTTGTTTTTTATTCAAATCTTGCAAATCCAGTGGTAGTCATGTTGGTCCTTCCCGCAATGTGATGTGTATATGGTATTACAATTCTGAATATGTTGTGTATATTTCAGTATAAGGAACCCCAGTATACAATGGCGGCTCTCTTTAAGACTCCAAATCTACGGAACCGAACAATCAATATATGTTATAATTGGTAAGGCCACGTTGTTATGCTTTCTTTATTTACAGGACGGCAGTCTTCGTGCCGTGTCCTGTTCGATATGGGACTCATAGCGACGTACACAACGCGTGTAAATTACATTGTTTATTTACATGAAATTCGAACACGCGCTGCGCGACGACCACTGCGCTTTAAACTGTCCGAAGTTCATACTATATCGAATGTCGTTTTTTTTTATTCTCGGTTCGCAATTGTCCGTACTACATATACGTAAATTTATTCAATATCATGCGTTTGTTAGTTAGTGGGAGTACTGAAATGTTTGGGCTATTTAGGTTCTGTGCGTGCGTGCGTGTGTGTGTGCGTGCGTGCGTGTGTCCACACGTTTGCCAGGGCCACTACTCGAGCATATCTTGACCGATGACTTTCAGATTTAAAAACAGAGACCATATTTACGTCGATTTCCTTTACCATTTAACCAGAAATTGCTGAATTCTGATACTTAAACGTATCCGATATCGTTTCTCGGAAATGAACAAGGAGATTTCATTCAAATTCTGTATGAGAATCATGCATATTAAGTTACTGGTGCACGAGATTTGAACCGAAATTGCTGACTGGAAACCATTTTGTTTTTCATTCCTTTCCATGCCGAATTCACACTAATAGATCACATATATTACCTAAGTAATATACCAGTATGTAATACCATAGTTTGTGTTTTTCTGTCGAAATGATTGATTTTTGCAATTCCATGTTAACCAACTTCTAGAGCAAAATACGACACATTAAATTAGTTTACATAATAATGAATACGTGCGTAGAATGATAGTAGAAAATCGAAGAGACTCCCATGGCTTGGACCACCGAATTTCAGAGTGCCGTTCTATCCAAACTTAAAGGGCGGTAGTCGTCGCGCTACGCATGTGCGACATTTGTGTTGATAAACATTGATTTTCCCATACTCCAATGCGCTCTTCTAATGGGAATCACAAGTATAAGGTTTGACCTGGGCGCGACTAGCCCTAAATGGCTCCTTCGATACCTTCTAAACACCTGATAAAATAACTAATTAAA